AGTCAACCTTGAGCCGGTGAGATTTGAACAGCCGAACTGCAGTCAACTGAAGTAGCCTGCAGTGCTGCATTTAACCACTGCGCCACCTCGGCTCTTGAAATACTTTCAATCAACTTGGCTCTTGGTAAGGAGTAGGAGTAGGGCGGGCACCTTATTCCATTTCCCACCTTCTGACACATGAAAATGTTGGCAAGAGAGGATGGAAATGGGCTAGACTTCTCTCTTGGCAGAGTTAGATTCCCAGGTGACGTCGCAGCAACTGAAATCGCCCATGACCACGCCTGCAATGCTGCTGGGTCTTCCCCATCGCCTTGTTCAAAGCCTGGGGTTCAAGGGGGACTAGGGAGCCTCCTACAAGATGGACAGGCCAAAGCCTGAACATTTTGCAATTTAGCCACAACAAAATCAAGCCTTTCTCTCTGATTAACAGAACACAATACTTTATTTGGTCAAGGTTGATTTGTCTCCAGTGCTAAGTTCTGTGTACATGCAAAATGACAAAGTAATAATAATAACAATGTAATTATATTCATAACAATGATACTAATAAGAGAAGAAAGTGGGACAAATGAGAAGGATAATAGTAATACAGACATACCATGTAGGTAAATATACTTAGACATAAGTCAGTACTGTGGAAATTAGGTGTTCAACAAGACAACGAGAGAAAAGAAGATTATGTAACTGACTAACTGTCAGTTACAATACAGATGAGAAGCTCCAGATGGATTTGTGGTCAACTACCTGGGATAAAGATATCGTCTCAACTCAGTTGGAAGGCCAGAGATTTTTACAGCAATGTACTAAAGGCTGGACATCCCCCACCTCCAGGATCCAGAGAAAGGGAGCAAGAAGGACAGACCAGACAGCAAGATACTCAAGGACCATTGGAGGTGGCCCAAGTTCGGAACCCTCTGGTGGAGTTAGAAGGATCCAAGGAGCAAAGACAAACCCGAGCGGTTACCAGACGTAAGGAACAAGAACTAAAGAAGCAACAAGCTCAGCAACAAGGTCAGACAATGGTTCAAGAAGCCATAGATACTAGCTCAGAAGTGGTGGGAGGAGCCAGGCCGAAAACCAAACTATAGGATTTCCAGGTGGCTCTTAAAAAGCTTCAGGGAGCTAAAGATGATAATTAAATTCTTAACTTGGAATGTCAATGGCTTAAATTCACCACAGAAAAGGAAAAAGATAAACCATTATTTGAAGCAATTCACGAATGATGTAATTTGTCTGCAAGAAACACATATTAGAACAAATGACCAGAAATATTTGATGAATGCAAGACTTGGACAACATTTTGTAGCCTCTGCCTCAGAGAAGAAAAATGTATAGTTATATATCTAAGAAAGGATATGAAAGCTGAACTAATTGAAGCAAGCTCTCAAGGAAGATATATTGCAATAGAACTATTACTAGAA